GTTTTTTGTTCATTAACCATTCAGAAAACCATGTTTAATGCATTTCCTTTCCAGCCGTTGGGTTCCATTCATTTCTTCACAATGTGAAATCAATCGCCAAAACTTTTTGTTATTTAGTCATTGCCGTGAACATCAAACATAACTGCACCCAGGCAAATTATCTAGCTAGTGTTGACCGCTACATGCTCTTTCCTCGCTCTGTGATATACATCACAGTTGGGTGTAGTCACAAGAACAACAAACCAAACCTTACAGAGGTCAGTGCAGAAACATACAGTTTTACCCTCAAATGGAAGATCCAGTGTGAAGTTACCCTTCAAAGGACCACACCGGGGATTTTGCATGCTTTTTTTTAAAATATTCAATTAATTGTTATGTCCTAGTAAGATGCCCGTCACCCGGAGGCCGTTGTAACACATTAACATGTTGCAATGGAGATTGTGTGAAAATGAGTTAGCAAGTGAGCAGAGAAGACTAAAAGGTTTGCTAAAAGCAATGTTTAAATAGATGAAATTGATAGCTAAGACTATGGATTAACAGTTGAGTCTGGTACTTGATTTTCATACATGGAAATTAACTGAAATCAATGGCTGAATAAATACTTAAAGTCTAACACTGTGCAACAGCCATTTGAAATTGTGATCATGTATACAAGATGTGTAGTTGAGGAGATGAAACCTGAAAAGCATAGCGCTTTTTGTGTCTCTGAGAGACAGAAAGCGAAGGTTTATGGTTTACGTCCTGTTCGTTTAGCTCCAGATGTTTTTGTGGTTGGGAAGGACAGAAAGTTTCCAGTGGATGGTTTTGACAGTTCAGGTTACTTTCTCTTTGTGTTTCAAACCCTTAAAGTCTGAATCCTCGACGAGGCCTTTGAAGAAGTGATGACCGGCCAAAATGTGTGACGGTGTAAAGACTCAAATTGGTCCTCTCAAAGATAGATCCACAAGCGCACACTTGCATGCATCACTAGTATTCAGAAGAGCTTTTTAGAGAAACACAGGATGGAAAAAAATCAATCGGCTCTTCGTGCTGCAAACAGGGAATCCCCTTTGTGTCCCACTCGATTGGAAAGAACCGTTGATCTGCGAAAAGTGTGAAAACCGTACTGCAGCTGTTTACTGATCATGACTCAACAGTATACAGCCTTTTGGTAACAGCGAAGTGATAACGATTGCCGCAAGGCCACAGATTCAGCGGAGGATGTAGAGGCTCCGGCTTTGCATCTGTCACGTCTGTTGCCATAACACGCACGTAACATGGTGGTTTCCCCCCCTGTTCAGTTGGGCGGTTTTACATAAGAGGTGGCAGCTGTTGCTCTAATGTAAATATCGGGTAATAGAGAAAGAGAGACGACAAGCTGAAGTGGGTGATGATAAATCAGGGTGGAACATCTCAACTGGCTGGAGTCGTCTTATGTTTTTCTTTTACTCTTTCTGGGGTGCTGTTTAGTATATTTTTTTATCTCCTGTCAAGGTTGATTAGTGAAGTTTTATTTCCGTTGACCGTGACCTTTTTTTTTAAATTTACAACAGAGGAAGTCAAGCTGGGATCACATTCTCACACACAAGCAGCAGAAAAACACACGCAGTCACACATTGTCTTCCCCTCAGGGTTGGGGGGGGGGAAGCTTTGTCTTGTGTTAGTGTCGTATGTCGCCCCGCGAGGCTTGGCTGAACATAAAGGCTGTCGTTATCGTGATGTTGTGTTCTCCTCCGGGTTACGGTTATGTAGTCTGCTTTCGTGTGAGAAAAAGGCAGTGTTGTGGCTGATGGTACTTTTCTCCGTGTGGAATGAGAAAGGGCACGTCTACACAAAGGACTGGCTCGAGTGTTTTTCCGTCTCTCGCTGGCAGGCTGACTCTTCTCCTGTCAGCGTTGTCGTCGCTCTCATGAATGTGATTCCTCGCTTCAAAGCCAGGTGACGGCACACATTACACAATACTCGGGGTGTTGCCGTTTGCTTTCTTATATGGGGCAGAGGGTTTTACACAGAGGAAATAACATCATGAAAACTCAAGTCGGTGGTCTCATTGAGTTGCATGCCCACTTGCATTTTGTCAGTGTCATACCCCTGTTGTTATCTTCCACTTCTTATCACTGTTCCCTTTTTTTGATGCAGTTTGACAGTGTTTTGCATGTTCTGTGGTGACTTTCAACACAGTTTCCTTCTACATATTCAACTTTTGCTTTTATTTTAACCAGTGCACCTGCAATTTGGCCTCTTTTGAGCTCCGCTGCTCCAACTGTTGCTTTCAGACCTGACGGCACTCGTTTTTACCTTTTTTTTATCGCTAACATCAGTCTAATAGGAACCATCTTTGTAGCAGTATTAGTCATTTTACGTGAGGAGTTTGCAGTGTTGTCTGCACCCACTAAATGACCTACAATGTCGACAGCAGGCATTCAAAGTATTTATTTCAAAGCTCTGGCGTTTTGTAAAAACAAGATATTTCTGCGTGTTGAAATCCAGCTGCTTGGAACCAAACTGTTTCCAGCCAAGTATTCCCCCAAAATGTGCTGCATTTGTCACTGTCTTCAGCACTGTGTACTCTTAGCTGAGGTTGAACTTTTCATCTCCACCCTCATGTAGGCCTTATCTGCTTCATCTGCACCGTGTCAAGCGAAAGACATACTCAGCAAAGGTGAGGAGGTTCAGAGAGAAGTGTAAATCGACATATGGTGTGTGCGACAGTTTTGCTTCCTTCTGTTTGCCCCGTCTGTGTATGTGCTGGTGTGTTAAGCATTAACTGATGGGCAGGTTGTCGTGCCTTTACCCCCACGGTCAGCTACCCTGACGATGTAATGAAGAAAGATGCTGCCCTCTATCCTAATGTTAATAAACCCCCCGTCTCAGTCACGTCTGTATCGTACCTCGTCTCTCTCGATCTTTGACACACAAATACACTCGCTGTATGAGTCATTCCTATCCACTTTCATCTCATGGAGGCACGGCCTGGCCTTATAAAAATGGATCTTTATGTTTTTATAGAGCAGAGTATCATGTTATATTTCTACCCCTATGACACTCTAAGCTTCTATAATCTTATATTGCCCGACAGTATATCCACGACACCCATTTCTCAAATGAATCCACTGTCGTGTCCTAGCTGTTGTAGGGTGTCGGGGGTGTACTTGTTTTTAAAGCACATGGATTAATGATTCAGATTACTTGTTGACTGACGTGATAGGTGACAGTGTTACAGAACTCAAGTTTAGGGCTCTCCCAGTGATCGTTTTTATTGCTTTTTAATATGCAATTTATTTTTCCGACTAATCGACTCATTTAATTCATAAGATGTGAAGAAATAGTGAAATATGCCCATTTACCTCTTCACGTGTATTGATATTGCACTGACCTGAAGGCCGCGCTGCGAGTCGCACGTTACCTCATCTGTAACACTAGCTGCATTGTGCTGAATTTTGCATGGTCACATTGACCTGGTTAGTCCTTCATTATTCATGGCAACGGGAGGGAAGCAGCAAAATGAATACACGCACGCACATGCATATCTAACAGCGCAGGCAATGGGAGATTTAAAGGAGCATCAGGTTGGAGAGGCAGGTGTGGTCGATGCTGTTTGCTTCAATGCTTGAAACGTAAGAGCCATGGGACTAACATGCTTGTGTGTTCGTGCCCATACGTGCGCGTGTGAACTCCCATCAGTCCTCGGGCAAAAAAAAAAAAAAAAAAAAGGGGTGTGGGAGTAATCCAGCACAGGAGACATAACACCCGGACCATTAGCGGGCCAGCTCACATAACCCAAGCGCGGGTGGCTGACAGACGTGCGTAAACACATGGCACCGCTTTCCAGTATTCACCGTGGCTTTGGTATTCATCAGCTATTTCCCCCCCCCCCCACACCCACACACAAATGTTTGCCTCGGTCCTCTGCAAGCCCTCGGACGGCAGGATTAATGGTGGTGTGTGCCGCACACCCAGGGCCAGACAAAGCCTCCCCATCTGGAACTGCAACCCGTGACTGGGGAACAGTGGCGGCACACAGAGCCTGGTCGAAGCCGCCCGGGGAGAAGGGGGGGGGGAGGGGGGGGAGAGAGATCTATAGGCCCCACTTAATAAATGAGCAGGAGTCCTGGGCAGTCCTGCAGATGAATGAAGGGGGCGTTTGCGTCTTTTGATGTGACAGGGAGAAAAAGGGTCCTGCATGCCGGCCTGGGCCTGGTGCAGCGCCAAATGGATCTCATTTCCCCTACCAGCTGATTAAACAGCCATATCTACATTCATCACTGGGCCCTGATCCAAACAATGGCGGCAGCCGGAGGGGGAGAGATAGGCAAGGCGACATCATGCCTCCTACAGAATTTTTCACGATTTAAGAAACCAGATGGAGACAAAATTGCGATGACCGCGTTGGCCAGTTGTTGCGAATAATACAAGGTTGGAGAAACATCAGTAGGTCGGTGGGTCCCACCCCCAGGTTGGAAACCACTGGCCTCAGTCTCCAAATGATTCTCTTGGTTTTATGTTGAGAAACTGGGTATTTTTGGAATCATCAGTTCTCATTAAAGTCCCCAGTTGGTCTGTTTTAGTTGCCTGTAGATATATTGGGAAAGTCTGGACCACTGTGTGACAGCTGGTGATGGAGACAAAAAGCATGCTCTACCCTGCAGCGGCTTTTGGCAGGCAGCTGTAGAGACACATCTGTGTGAAGATATTAACAAATCACTGAACATTACATTTTTTTCTTTCTAGGTTGTTGTCGATCGTAAGTGAGCTCTTATGATCACTCTGATAGGACAAAGACATTATTTATTACCAAAACCTTCCCCTGGAGCGTAAACAAGACAAGCCTCTAGAATAATTCCGCTTGGCTCTGTTCCTGAGTCTTCTTAGACCGTCGTGTCCTACTCTGTTCCAGTTTACACATTCAGTATTGTTAATGGTGCTGATGGCTTCAAACTGCCAGTTTATTGTTTACCATGTGCTGTCGGTTCCCGTGCTGCATGTCCTTCAGCGTGTGCTTTTTGCTTCTCCTCCCTCAGGCCCAGCGACGAGAGCCACTCAACAGTGACGGCCGACGGCACTGTGGACGACCTGGCTCAGGCTGTGGACGCGATCCTCAAACAAAGGCACTGAGCACAAGGCAGCAGACACTGGAAACTCTCCACTTACCGTGACCCTGGGTGATACAGGCTAATGTCTGGTAGTATTTTACTCTTAAGTGATGTTATCAGAAGCAAGGGTGTACTGCATCGAGGTATTTCAAGTAAGATGTCAAAGCAGTACGAAACAAAAATACTGTGTGTCCTGTAACTATCACATCTCATTAAACCTTGAAATATGGGAAACACCCAACCATCTGATGCTCCACGTATATGTGAAACTAACTAGAATTAAACATGCAGAACTAATACTCAAGTCTACAAGAGATACCTTTAACACGTTAGGGATGCACTGTGTGTTTGTCAGTACATGATTGGCATAGATAAGATACCTCAAATGACAGCAATGTGCCTGTAATCAGCTGCCGACTGACAGGAGGGTAAAGCAATGCTGTGTGTTCAGACTCCTGCTCATGATACGCTGTATGAAGACTGTATTCTAGAGACTGTATTCTAACTGGAAATGCACAATTGACTTGCAGCAGTATAGTGTACTTTAACAAACATTGATTAATTAAGTAGCTGGTATATGAAAGTAATGTTGCTGTCGCTCACTCTCTTATAATAAACCAAGGTGTAGCCTGGAATGCAAGTATTACATCAATAAAGCTATTTTTTATTTTATAGCTGTTGAAAACATTTGTCTCCCTAAATTTGCCAATTTGTCTGAGTCACAGGAGTTGTTTACTTTTATTTTTAAAAGGGCTCAAGGTCTCAAAGCACCGGGGCAAACGTTGCTCTGGTATAAACAAGAAAGTTTGTATCGGAGCGGCTTTTGTTTTTACAAAAACAGATCTCTGGAAATGGGGAAGTGCGCTTGTCTTGGAGATGATAAATGCAGTACACAGGCGAGTGTGATGAATTATGCTGGTGCCATTTCCCCCCCCCCCCCCTGTAAACAAACACGAAATCATCTGAGTGAATAATCACAAATCTGCAACTGCTTATCTTTATTTACTTGACTGTAAGCCGCCTCTGCTGGGGGATTGTCCCATCATCGTTACAATGTTAATTGGCGCTCATTAGACGAAGCGCATTCACTCCGGTGTCTACGGTGAGGTTAAATAACACGATGAGGGGAAAAGAGTTGGTTATTGGGCTTTTGTGTGCCAGCTGGATCATTGAGGCCTGTGGAAGTGGGGCGTAAAACAAATGATTCTCCATCGCTGCCCCTAAGGTTTCAGTGCACCAAATAGATTCAACAAGAACAAAAGCCCATTGCCAAGTAATTCATTGAGGTCTTTCTGGTTCACTTCACCATTCGTTGACACAGGCTTGAATGTTATTTGGCAATTAAAGGTAATGAAATGCTACTAAGTATTAAGAAACTGTGCCTGAACTGGGTGTACCAAATATTAATGTACACGGCAAAGTACTAGCAGCTGGTACGCAGTTTTCTAACAGCTTACACATTGTTTGACTTTGTGTTTTGTCCGTTATGTTACCGCCCGTTGGCCTTGTGTGGAGCTATTAAACACATATTTGACTGCTATCGAATTAATTCACTTTGCTTTAACTAAGTTCCAGTTCATGGAAGTGCAGTTTAGAGTCATTCTAAAGGATGTAGGCCACAGCTTTTCAACACCACCTCTTGGTTCATCATCACTAGCTGTTACACACACACACACACACACACACACACACACACACACACGCCCCAGAGCTAGCTGGTTGATGGCCAAACCAGTTTCATGCTGGCTCAGGGTCATCCACCCATTTCACACAAGTTACAAATTAGCAGCAGTTTTACCTCTGCAGGCTGCTTTGGCAGGGAAACGGTCATGAAGTCCTCCTAGAGTGCAGCACATTGATTCCCTCACTGTGACCACAGACTGTGAAGCAAGATTACCTTTCAAATAATAGAGATGACCTCATTTCAGGAGACATGTCTGGGCATGTTTGACCTCACTGCCACATGACAGTATCGACAGACATAATATGCTGTCAAATCTTTGACGGGCTGAAGTTGTTGCTGTGGGGTTTTTTTCCAGTTGGAAGCTATTGGCACATCAGTTTGTCATCTTTGGACCTTTTTTTTTTTTTTAACATCTGTATAGTGTTTAGTGTTGTTTTCACACAATACTGCATTACGTACTCATGTAAACACGGTTAGTCCTGAAGCGATTAGGCACTTACTGTATTTGCAGAAAAGTTACAGAAAATAAGTATAATCACTGATTAATTGTTTTAGCTGCAAAACCCATGTCCCATGAGCCTCAGCTGTACTCTGCGTTTTGTACTAATTAGCAAATCTTAGTTAAACCACCGTCTTAGTTTACTAGCATGCTGTTTTTCAGACAAAATAACCAACAAGCCCAAGATGCTTTGGGAACTTAAAACTTGACATTTTAAGGACTAAAACATTTATTCCAACTAATCCAGAAAAATAGTTCACAGTTGTGAACTCGTCATTTTACAAATTCTGAATATTTCTTGCAAATGTCATTCCCCATGAAGTCTTCTTGATCCGCAGCACACTTCAGCTAGATGTTTATCTTAAAATATCAGCTTTTGCAGTCATACCAGAACAGGATTATGACTGATTGTGAATGATGTATGTCTCCGAGAGTATCCCCACCCTCGCCTCCCTCTTCTCCCTGTACAACCTGCAGTCGTTAAGCTCATGATCTCGTTTTACGTTACTGACTTATCGGAGATGCAAAGCCCTGTAGCATGTGTCTGTCAGGAGTACACAGACACATGCTGCATGAGGAGGAGAATGTGGCTCTTTGTTAAATGTGTCATGGCCAATCTCCAGACTCCAGACTGACTTTCTCCTAGGGGCCTCATTTGCACAAAAGTCCGGTTTGTAACCAAATCCAGCGGTGTGATTTGTTTTTAAATGTGTCACTGACGGGATAAATGACTTCCACGCACCCTGAAACGTTATATTTGTTAGAATGATCCTGAAATCAAATCTAAAATGAGGCCCCGTGAGATCTTTATACACGCACACTGCTGCAGTGTGTCGCTGAGCCAACATTCATAAACGTTTTTGTGGCATCTGTTTGGCTTAGGCTCCTCTTACATGGCATGCACACTGCTGCTCTTGTAGCGCACCTGCATTTAACCCACCCAAACAACTGCCAGCTGTGTGTTACCTTGAACTTTCATCTCCACTCAATTGGCGCTTCCTGTTTGACAGGAAACGGTGGGTCAGCTGACCAGACAACGCTGCACACCTGCAGCCCCAAATGCACCGTTATCTGTGGAAACACACACGTTGTTTTGACAGCAGTCGCTTATTTGCCCCCTCCTATCAGTGTAGGGAGCACTTGGTCCATGAGGAGGCCTGTTTCTCTTACTCGCCAAGACACATGGTTTTCCCCACATTTCATCACCTTGTGGGCGGCCGTGCCAACAGCACTCGGTGGCGTGGCAGGGCTCTGAAACTTTGGAGCAGAGGCCTGAATTTCCTCTCTCGGAGGGTTTACAGGCAATCTGAGAAGCGTCTCAGTTCATACACAAAGCGGTCTGTACTCTAACGCGGTCACAGCCGTCACTGGCCCCTCCAGGGACACGACCCCTCCTCAACAGCCCGCTAAAGCCTCAGAGGCCGGGCTCTCCTGACACTAAGCATGACCCCGTGATGTCATACCCAAGCGTGTGCGTATGTATAATCCAGGAGAAAGGGTGGTCCTATGTCACCAATGCAGCGTAAACTAACTGCCCTGGCCTAGAAAACGGTCTGAAGGCTTACGGCTGACCTCGATTTGAAAGCTGTCTGACTCTGCTGAGGCTCTCTCCTGTGAAGGTGTCCGGTTACCTTTTGTAGAAGCCAAAGCTTTCAACGCTCAATTTAGATCCTACAATCCTCTTGCTGAAGGGACAGCTATTGGACTTGAGAAGGCTTGTATGGCCTTGATACATCTCTACACACCATTGCTGGCTCAGACATAACACCGACTGACCTTTTTTTAAAACAATGTTTTTGTATCTCAAACACAATTTGTGGTCTTGTGTGAAGGTGTGTGGGTGAGATTCAACGCGATAACTACCTCCACATACAAAAGTGTATTGATTCAGTGCATACGGACAGAAAGAAAAAGTAGATTTTTGTTCATTTAGAGCTTACGGTAAGGTTTGTGCTCCCAGTATTTTGATTAGAAAAGCTTCAGACAACACTTGCGCTGCAACTGGAAATGTTTTGTGGCCGGGTGCTACAGCTTAATTGTTTTTCACCCCAACCACATTTGAGCTGCCATACCTGGAAACCAGTGCCAACATTCAGTTTCATGTCGCATGCGGTTTAATTTTTCTAAAAAGGACTTGTTTAAAAAAAATTCAATTTACTGTTTGCAGGAATTTCAAACTACAGGTAACTTTAGGATATTGAATACAGCTTTTTAAATTGTTGACATGTGGAAAGAAAAAAAAAAAAAAGAAAAGCGCAGGAAAGCAGACGAACGTGTTATGCACCTGTGATGTGGCTCGTCATTAGAGCAGATGGGACTTTGCATAACCTCCAAGAATGACCACCCTGTTGTGTCAGTGCTGGTGGGTGTTGTGTGGACCAGTGTAGTGCAGAACATCGGGCGTGACATGCCCCTCCTGTTGTACTCCTATCTTCTCTCGGAACACAGCCTTCTTTCATTTCTGTCAACCCACTGATTAAAGGCCGGTGTCCCTTGGTGTGTCAGTCTGCCCCACGGCACGTTTACAAGGGTTCTGTTTACCCATTTCCTTCTCCACTCGGCCCCCGAAAAAGGGCTCAACCAGTGAAAAGCAGCAGCAGCTTGCTTGTAGCTCTGTGACAGTGTAAATATGACCTCACTATGCAAGCATACAGATTCTCAGGCAACAGTATAATAACCCAATCCATTACAAGACTATGCATTGGCCATGTAGGCAAGTTTAATCCCAGTTATGCTTTGTGTGGTATTTGCGTCTGGAGTACAGCGTGTCGAGCAATCTTGAAATTGCTCAGCCGGTCTTTAATGAGGTGACTTTCATCCCTCAGTTGCACCGTGCGCTTTCAAAGAATGACGAGTACGCAATCGTACTGGAGCAATGAATGAAAAAAGTTATAGTGTGGAGGATTTGCACAGGCAGTTGGGGAGGGGATGCAGACAAACGGAGCAGCAGCAGCAGCCCTGACACATGGCCCACATTCACAGCCGCCTCCCACGTCACTGTGCTCCTCAGAGAAAAAGCCTCTTTTGTTTCCCAGTGCAGGGAGGGAGGGAGGTCTCTGGGGTGAACCGCCGCTCAGCTCCACCACTCCACCCGCCATCAAAAAAAAAAAAGAAGAAACATGGACCGGACTTCCCACCCCTGCCGGGCGTCCTCCCGACTCACTCCCGCTTCAGCACACAAACACAGGCTCATCAGTAGTGCCACTACTACGACCGTGATTGTCTTTTCCTGCTACTTAATTGGGTCAGTCTGCATTGTTGCATTAAAGACGTCTCCAACAATGACCTTGCTGTTAATGCATGTGCTCGGCTAAAAGCAGCAGCAGTGGTGTTCTCGTTCAGATTATTCTCTTAAATGAAAGTAGCAATACCACAGTGAAGTCACGCTTTAACAATGTAAAGTACGCAAGATTCATCAGCATGCACTTACATTTACTTTAAAATGAAAAGTTAGAATTGCCCCTAACAGTGTCTTTAACAAGCATGCAGGTGGCAGGTGTTGGTAGTTAAGTCTGTTATAGTAAACAAATACCTCAAAGTCAATGTAATTATAGTACTTTACATTAATTACAATACTATTCAACCGCTAGCTAATGTATATACATTTCGTATGATGTCTTACGAAAAGTTACTCCTCGTTTTTTGTGTGTTGTCCTACAAAAGCCAGCAACACTTGTCAATTTCCGCTCGTTACATGCATAAGGCCTCTTTAAAATAAACTTCCGTCTTCACGGGAAACTACTGTTGTTTAGGAAACAAAACTACTTGGTTAGGTTCAGGAAAAGATCATCGTTTGGGTTAAAATAGCTACAGAAGTGCCGTACATAGTGAAGTTTGCTGACGCCACCTCTGTGGTAGGACTCATCTCCAACAATGACGAGACACACTACAGACAGGAGGTCCAACATCTGGCTGAGTGGTGCTCGGACAACAACCTGGTCCTGAACACCACCAAGACCAAAGAAGTCATAGTGGACTTCAGGAGATCCAGGAAGACCACACCCTCTCCACTCTACATAAGTGGGGAGGAGGTGGAGAGGGTGGACAGTATCAAATTCCTGGACCTCACTTGGTCCCTGAACACATCACACCTGGTGAAGAAAGCCCAGCAGAGGCTCTTCTTTCTGAGGAACCTAAAACAAGCTGGCCTGCCCCCTGCACTTCTACAGAAGTGTGATCGAAAGCATCCTGTGTATGTGCTTTACTGTGTGGTACGCCAGCTGCACAGCAGAGAACAGGAGGGACCTGGCCCGGGTGGTTAGAACAGCACAGAGGATTGTGGGAGTTACCCTGCCTGACCTGGACACTGTGTATGCTGGCCGTCTCCAGAAGAAGGCCAGAAACATCTGCACAGACATCACTCACCCGGGTCACTCTGTTTGTTCCACTACCATCAGGAAGGAGATACAGGACCATCAAAACCCGGACTAACAGGCTGAGGAACAGCTTCTTCCCCAGAGCGGTTTCCTCCGTCACCCCACCACTGCCACCCACTCCACCCAGCTCACACCGGACAGTGCTGAAACAAATAGTCAATAATGCGACACTGTAACCAAGCACATTTTTCACTTTGAAGCCTTAAGTCTTGTCTTAATGTTTTTATACACTTTTAACTGTTGCTGCTGTAGTGATGAGTCGCCAACTCAATTTCGTTGTGTGTTCGTACAATGACAATAAACATCCTTATCGAAGTTACGCAAGTTTTGTGACAAATAAATCAACGTTGACTTCTCGTTTCACACGGGTAACGAATGGCGGCCTCCTGGCTGAAAGATGGCAGTTTGTTCAAACCCTTTTAATAAACAGTCTATGGGTCAGAACCAACGCAAAGCCTTGCAGTATTCGGAGGGATTTGCGCCATTTAGAGAGCAAATTTGCGTCTATTCACGTCCACTTGCGTTTTTTTTCCTTCGAGGTGTGCAATTACGCCACATCTAATGTTCACATTTTCATCTAAACACACATTTTTGTTGATTTTGTGAATAAAGACGTTGAAATAACGTGATTACAAATGACACATTTAAAACTGTTTTATTTGTATAGAAATATGCTCATGTTTTACATAACTTTGTAGTTACAAATCGTAAAAAGAATATTAACGCTATTAGAATCACAAAGGTTTTCTCACACAAAGGGGAGATCTCAGAGAGACGCCTGATGTTACTGTGTGAAATGTTAATATACTTTACAGGTTGTGTGTGTGTGTGTGGGTGCAGCTTGTTGCTCAGTTAAGAGTGAAAGGGGCTTTACTAACGGTAGCTCTCCAAGTAGTCTTCATTTCTGTTCATCGTGTACTCATGTACTATTGAAGAGGAACGGACACTCTTTCTAGTGCAGAGAATTGATACAAACCTGCTGTGAATTCTCTCCAAACGCAGTACAATGAAGGTAATCAGGGTTACAGAGACATGTGAAACCCCAGTCTCTGAGCCAACATTAATATATCGCTTTATATATTCATCAGTTCTATCAGTCCTCCCCGACTTCCTTGTTCTCCTGAGACACAGTTGAGATAACGCACAGTGTGGGAGTAGCTTCCGACTACGCAAAGCCTCCAAAAAATGGCCCACAAAGCTCAATCTCTCCATTAGGGAAAAAAAAAAATAACTAGTGCTGGAACGCTCACTGCATTAGCTTTCCACCTGCTTTGTCCTTAAGACTATCAGTACTGTTTACTGTACCACCTGGTGATAAACTTTCAGTCCCCTGAGAGGGAGACGGTCCAGCTCAGTTCCTCTCAATTTGCTCAATGTCGAGCTCGCCTCCAAGTTGATACACGTCCTTCCTCATGCTACACAGCCCCGCCCACAGAGGGTCGTTGTCCTTCCCGTTGGTCGTCCCCGGCATCCAGTCCGCCTCCTCGATGGTGGGGTCTGACGGTTCCTGGGGGATCTCTCCCTCTTTGGTCCAAGGCTGAACGTCCTCTGGGCCGCGTTCGCTTGCTGACGAGTCACCGGCGTAACACTGAGCGGTGCTCCTGAGAGTGGGGGGGGGCCGGGCTTGACTCGCAGCCGTCTTCGCCGGTGATTCCAGGGCAGCTGAGGCTGTGGAAGTTCCGAAGTTTCTGTGGAAGTACAGAAAGAAGCATAGAGTGAATGTCCTCAATGAAACAAGCATTAACTTAAACAAATATGTCAAATCCTTAGTAGAAGTCTATAGTTTCCATTGTTATCAATCAAAAACATTTCCTTCGTGTTGGACTTTGGACCCATTGGTCAACTAGGGCACAAGCAAAACTAAAAAGGCATACAGCCATCCTATGAAGACAATCCCTCTACTGTACTCGCAGTATGTGGGTTAGTCAGTGAGGTCAGAGCTGGACACTGATGAACAACCACTGTAATAAAAAAAAAAAAAGATTTGAAGGGTATAAATTTAGCCTGCATTACATACTGGAGCAACTGGTAGTGGCTGGTGGATGCGATCTGAGGTCCAGGCAGCAAGTGGCCAGATACCCAGAGGGCCTTTGGACTCTGTGTTCATTGTACAGATCTAGTGAAAGGCCGGCATACATCTGGGAAACCCAGGAACCTCCTTTTAGGCAAATCCACATGTGCCAACTCCGCTGCAGGCGAGCGCCGGGACAGCTGTGGGTGCTGGAGTGGAAGGCTTTGTGACAGAGGCTTATCCAGCCAATGTGGAGAGGGCAGGACAGCTGCCTCATGCCCGGGCCACTACGGTGTCGGGACAGAAGGACACGGGAGAATAGGGCCTCTGTGAAACCTCCTGTCACTTGTGTGCTTACGTAACAAGCACCGGATTGTCGGGGATGCAGGTCACAGCCAAGTGTAGGAACCACAGGAGCACAAAGTGTCGTCTTCTACCGTTCTGTCTTAAAAAACTGTTAAAAAGCCCAAAGAGATTCGGTTTATAACGACATGAGAACGGGTGAAATGTAAAGAGAAATGATCCACGTGTTGGCACATCAGATCAAACGTGGCCCTGCTGTTTTTCTCGGCTCCGTTCAAGCGGGTACATTTGTCAGCGCCGGGCCAGTGTCACATTGCTGCCTTCTGCATTAGCACTTCTGTGTTCACCGTCACATGGGACCGCACCGATAAGGCTGTGAGCAAGTCTGGACCATACCAAAACAACGCCGACGCAGTCGACATTAAGTGCACCGAGTATCTCGCTGTAACTTGGAGCAGAGGGGGAGTTCTGCAGAGGAAGAGCTTCGGGCAGAGAAAAGCATCTTTCACAGAGTGTCCGCACAGAACTTATTGCACCGCATTACAATGCGGGTCATGAATCAGTGCTGCCAGTGTCCAGTTTGTCTGCTACCCCCCCCAAGGAGAAGACCTTACTGACCTTGACTCTCCATCAATACAAGCTGATCAATAGCCCGTGAGGCCCGGTTGTGGCAGCGATCCACCCACTGAGCTGAATTTACAGAAATCAATATCTCTTTACCCAACACGCATCTCCCCTGTGCAGCGATCTGTAACCTCTGCCACAGCTGCTCTACTTCCTGACATTCATAGAGCCGCAGTGAGGGTAGCGGTTTCTCCCTGAGTAAACTACACCGTTGTGGCGTGTGGATGAGAGGACACACTTTATAGACACACTCTGCACTGCGACCAACCTCTGAAGAGTAAAGGTGACTTTGAGTACTGATACGGTGACGCGTGTGAAGCCCCGTAAGAGTCGAGTGCCGAGCGAGTTTGGTCATCGCAAGCGGACATCTTTGCCATTGTGATTTTCTGAGTCTTTGCAGCGACATACTTCGGACTTCTAAGTTTAAACAAGCTGTCTGTTTTTCAATTAATCAATCAAAAATGAAGCCCATAATGTTTAAGTCTATAAAATGGCTTGCCTCTAAACCTGAGTCACTTGAGAAGTTTAAAAAGATGTCAAAACCGAAAACATATATACGATGCAATGAAACGCATCAGTCCTCACATGGAGGAACAGAGCACGCAATGCAGAAACGGCAGGAAAGTTACAATGGCAACAATCTCAGCACCCTGACGTTCCTCTGTGAAAATATTGTTAGTAGCCTCGCCTGAGGCTGTTTTCTCCACGCTGACCTCGTCCCTGTTTTCGGAGCGTGTGTGGCGTCTGCTTGTCGTGTCACAGTGACTGTTAAGACTGCTGAACTCTGGGTGACTTTCTCAGAGGGGGCCAAGTCCAGCTCTGTGTTTATAATCCAATCGGTGTACGTGTGAAACTACGTGTGTCTGTGTGCTTGTGGGGCAAAGAGATAAAAGAGCCTGTCAGGATGTGCAGATGTCTGTTGAAACACGGTTTGACTTCATGGTTTCGTAAGATCGTTTCTTTTGAACGAAAACAAACTCATCTGATCATCTAACTGGCATTTTAACTCCTGCTTTGATCAAATCATCTCCATCCCGTACTATGAAAAAAGGGAATTATATGCGTTGTGCGCTCTATTTCTGCAAATGCACAACCACATAATGGAATGTGACCCAGAACAGGCCTGCGTGACTCCTCCTCCTGCAATGATCGCCTTCGTTTAATGCCGATGCCTGCAGAAACACTGAGGTGTGCTGATGGAGAACAGACACAGCGGCGTGACCTTAGTTGGAAGTGTTTGTTTATCCAACATGAGCAGGAGCAAGTTGCCACAACAGCGTAGTATAACTAGCTAATGTTAGTGAGACTGATGGACCGAGCAGAGCGTCCAGCTGGCATGACTATTTCCTGAGGGTCTTGTCTCATATGCTCAAACTCTTTTGGAGCACATAAGAAGGCTGTGGCAAGTTCAACCAATAAATAAATGGCACATAAAATGCTCCAATAAATTATAGGATTTGCTCAGGTGCAACTGTTTAACAGTTTATATGACTGGCTATAACTGGCAGAGATTGCAGTATTTAATCAAGTGTCTATTGTCCTGATTAAACATGGAATAAACACTTTTAAAAACCAACCTGTGTCATCTTGGCCAGGTCCAAAGACGGCCTCTGCTTCTGTGCGTCAGCTGGTCTTCTGCGCTTCACGCCGATCTTCTTGTCGTTGAGGACGCACGGCTGCGAGCGACTGCGGGCGAGACCTCCCTGTCCGCCGCGGCGCTCCAGCTCGGGTGTGGAGTCGGGGGAGCTGGCCGGCGAGGGTCCGCATATCTGTTCATGAGAGAGGTAGAGGGGCTGCGCTGAGGGCTCGGAGGACAGGGTCATGGAGGAGGCAGGCGTCAGACCGGTGAAGGCGGAGGGGCAGGGGAGACGCCGGGCGAAGCAGGGCAGCTCCAGGGTGTTGGAGCGGGCGGGCAGGCTGAAGCTGGAGCTGCGCTGCATGGCTGGGAAGCCGAGCTGCGTGTTTACCGCGCCGCCGCGGTGGACGCTGCCGCCGCTGTGGCACCGCCTCTTCTCCACCGTCGTCCACACGCGAGAGCCCTGAGGGCGCCAGGTGGAGCGGCAGCCGCCGAGCTCATCTGAGCAAGACAGGGACCGGCACTGGCGCTTGCTGGGGGGTGCAGTGGAGTGCGAGGACGCGGCCTCAGTCAGGCTGAGGTCATGCAACAAGCTAGTGATTGTGGTCGAAGTGGAGCCAACGTCCCAGTCCCAGTGGGCAGAAGTCTTGTGCACCTCAGGCAGGACGTCCCACAGGCTCTCCAGGCTGGTCCCAACCGGCCTCTGCTGTATAGCACAGCTGTGGCCCAACTCACGCCACCGGCTTGTCTCTGCAGCAAAAGACCAGATTAATTTTTAATTAAATAACTTGAAATCAGATCACAGACAAGACATATGAAATGATTTATGGGCTTATTTGTACACCAAGACACTGACTTTTGTCTTAAAAAGTTAAAAACTAAATACAACATTTTGTCTATTATGTTGTTTTTTTGGCATACAACAGGTCGAAAAAATGGGATGTTTATGTATAAATGAACTTTAACTATATGGGAAACAAGTGAACCTTTTTATAAGATGTTTCACTGAGGCAGCGTAGGTTGTCATATGACTGCCAGTTCAGGATCAACTTGATCATAATTATTCTGGGTATTTATTTATTTTATATATCACTTTGGACCACAATGTCTGCCAAAGTAGTAAATGTAAGTGTATCAAGACCTTGAAGCAGCTCTGATATTGGCTTGTAAAATCTCCCTGCTCTTGACACTTAATTTTATTGGTGTGGAACCTCCTTTAGAAAAACACAATATGAGAATCACTTTCGACATGAACCTCTGGCCTTAAAAAAAACATGTTTTCGTGCCACGGTTCTACAATCATTGGAGGTTATGTTTGGCAACCTCATCAATGACACGGCTCCAGTCTGGGTCAGCGCGTTGGTCCCAGCATGTGTACTTTGTAATGCCACTACTCACTGCTTTGTGAAATTAGGCCCTAAAAATAACTTGTGTCCTCCAGGCAGGTTTAATCACAGCTAATTGGGAAGGGGGGGGGCGAGCTCAGTGTCTAACTGACTTAATATCAAACCTCAATAACCCATCATAAACATTTGGACTAAAGCTTATCTTCTTTTTTTTTTTTTTTTTTTGGGGAGATCCAAACCAGCTCCCTATCTGCCTTTACTTCTGCACTAGTACTGTAGCTGCCATGCCTGGAAAGCAGCTGTTATTCCCACAACAGAGACTCTCTGAATAGCTGAATGGATCAGCCAACTAAACTGGTCAGTCAACTCTGAGTCAGATACTAAACGTCGAGGCCACTGCCCACTCCTGGTATGCAAAAGGTCTATTCTCCACCGGAGATAAAAATCCAAAATACCATCTGCAGGACGGAGGACAAAGGCCAGTGTTAACAACACCTACTGGTGCTGCTGTGTACTCTGCCAGTATTACACACTCGATGCCAAGATACTGCAAGGACAGAATACCATCTAATCTTACAAAACAAAGACTGTAAAAGCTGTTACTCAGTCATAACCAAAAATGTCCAACTTGCAAAAGCATGCAGGAGTGTCCATAAGATCCCAGCTAATGATAAGCCGCTAACACGTAGTCATTATTGCCTTGGCTGAAACACCTGTCGGACACGTTTCACATTATGCCGTGTCACCGTAGATGCGATATAGACTGGCTTGCTGCCCTTCTGCCAATAATTTCTCAGAAATATTACAGCCGAGCAGCTCCAAAAACCTCTGCTGTCAAAATACACTTATTCTGAGCTCTCTACAAGCTGCTGTTGGATGTACATATTTACTTGTCATGTACATTTCGTGATGGCAGGTATGGCGATAATACATTTGCATCAATGTAATGAAGTACCTTGTTTTGTTTGACATCTAAAATAGACACTTATTTACATGTTTTACTACTAAATTACTCCTTTGGTTATTTACTACTGAAATGATCCACATCACACAACACACTTACAGGTGTGAATGTGTACATTGATGAGAAAGATGGCAGACTCTTACCCATGAGTCCACAAGAGAAAAGTGCAGTCCCCTGGGTCATGGTCTGTGCCTGGAACTGCAGAAATGCAAGAGAAATTCACTGTCAGCTCTGCAGAAAGTCACATGAATAGGTTCTAGCATTAACATGTCAATAAATCAACAAATGCTAAATCAGAACCTTTTGTTAAGTCAGATTTTTTGTATTGTCATAGCACATTTTTTTTGCTGCTGAGAGATGAAGACCTAAGTGCAACCCATGAACAGAGAGTGTTCCACCATGAATGCCTCTGATTGACACCTCGGCGCATGATGACTTCATTTCACGTGGCTGAGAGGGCAAACGGTCCACATTAGTGAGGGGATTTTCTCACTCTGCATGGATGCTGATTATAAAATGAGTCAGAGTTAGTCAGCCCAGTGGAACTAAGATACTCCATTGTCATTTTGAGTAAACTGAGCAAGGGGGGGATTCAAAACCAGATGACAAACAGCTAGTGTGATACAATTATGAGAAATTGTAACAAAAACATTCCTTATGCCCAATGTTCAACATCACTTCCTGACATTTAGGAAGGCCAACACCTATTCATGTTTCTTGACTCAGGGGAAGTTAAAAGTCAAATTTAGGCTCTAATTAAAGTTGACAAAATAGGAAAACATAACGTAGAGCCATTAAACTGATCTGGAGCGATGAGTGGCTGGCAACAAATTTGTTGATTTAGGCCCAATTTCAAACCACCGCCTACACCCTCTCCCTTACGCACTTCCGCTCCACGTTTACGTTGAGTGTCCACCATATTCAGTGCCATCAACCAAACCAATTTGCAGGGAGTGGGTTATACAATCCTCCAACAGTGAGTATACATCTTGCCAGAGAGAGGGAATTTTGTCCCGAAGCGTGCCGTTGTATTTATACCCTACGGCGAGGGTGTTGGGGCCACATTGGAATTGGCTTAGGTGCAGGAACCTTGTCGTATTCCCCTTTGACGAGTGCAGTTCAGGCTTGTTGACAATGCTACATACAAACATACAATTACACGTCACACGGAAAAAAGTAGAAAATAACCTCTCACCGGGCCCAAATCTGTACTTTTGGATGTTACATCATCGGCGCCCTTCTTTTCCAGTGTTTTCTTGAAAATGATCACCATGGCAATACACATCTTTGTCCCAAGTTGTTCCAGTGAGGGCAAGAAAAGTTGGCGTCCATCTTGACCGGCACGGTGTGAGCAGGCTGGTTTCTCATAAACTTAAAGACAGCAGCCGTCAACTCCTTCAGGAATGTGCTTCACTCCTCGGCGCAATCCTGAGCCGACACACAAAGATGAGCAAAGGGTTTAGAACTCAGTACATTTCTGACATTCTGACGGACATATAAGCGGAGAACAATCCAGCTGGATCGGGGAGAACACATCCCCTGAGTGGAGGCTCTGAAACACACAGTCAATGGAGGGCAAACCCAATGCTCTCTTACGGCCTTTCAGTAGCAAACATGACTTCAGAGGTTGTTCTGTTGAGTGAGTAGCTTCATTCATCGAAGAGGATGTCGGCTGCATTCTCTGCACTTACTATGGATTCCAATCGTGACACAAAGTCACAGCAAAAGAAAAGTATTGTCAAGTGTCGAATCGTCCAAATGACTTGCAGCATAATCTATCTCTCTGCCTGATTGGTCTATATGCTTAGTACGAATCAAACAAGTGTTGCTTTAGCAGTTCATTTGCTAAAGGTGCTAATTCTGACAAGACTTTCGACCAGGCGGCAAACTCCGGTTCTGCCGAGTGAAGCCAATGCGGAAGTGTCTTAAAACTTGCATTCTCTCTACTGGCCAGCAGGGGGCGACCCCTCTGGTTGCAAAAATATGTCGGATTGTATAGAAGTCTATGAGAAAATGACTCTACTTGATTTATTACCTCAGTTAACATTGTGAACATGAGTTTATGGTCTCAATTGCTAGTTTCAAGTCTTCTTCAATACAGCATGATGTTCATTTAGTAAATAATGTTCCCATTTAGAGTCAAATGGACCATAAAGCGGAGTATGCTTTAGGGCGGGCTTACTGTGACTGACAGGTCGCTGCCGCTACTACTTCAGTCCCCCACATTCCAAATATGGACACTTCTGTTCATTGGTTGCAAAAAGCCAAGATGGGAACGGCCGTAATCCAAGATGGCGACGGCCAAATCGCCGAACTCGAGGCTTCAAAACGGCAGTCCACAAACCAATGGGTGACGCCACGATGACTACGTCCGCTTCTTATTTACAGTCTATGGTTTTGACGCTATGAGGAGGCACTAGAGCTACCACATACCGGGACGTAGCGTCTTTAATTATGTTGTGCAGAAACCGTTGACGCTGTGGAGAAGTGGCTTATGCTGCAGGAATTGTTGGAGAACTTTCTGTACCATTTGAACTACTGTGAATCCAAGCTGTCTACAGCTACTGTCTTCAATTAGACAGTCACAAACTGTTAAAAGCCAGTAAAATGAAATTGCACTGCATTTTCACTTCCGCGTGGTCTCTCCACAGTGTCACCAAAACTAGAACTTTATACCTTGTTTTGTTCCTGCCTGTCGATGTGGAGATTATCAGTCATCTGAGAGAGGGCAAGTTTCCTCAAAGTGTTCCACACTGGAGCACACAAAGAGGAATAGAGCAAAGTCAAAGTTGTGTAATTGAATCCTCAGAGGCTGGCTGGGAATAGCTGACCTTGCGGTTATCAAAACAACCCTTTTCGCATTAGTGCTGCTCCACGGTTACAGTACGCAGCTGATTAGCCATAGACGTAAATCTATACAGCCATCACGGAGGATTTTTTTTTGCTACCGCAAGATCAGTTCCACTCGAGGTGACGTCAGTGAGGAGATTGAACCAAAGTGCGGCGGGCACAACATCGTCGTAGGTCAGAGGCTGTTTTAATGGCGGGCAGAAAGAAGGGAGGAAGAAACGGTGTACGTGAAAAAAACGAGTGCTCTGTGCAGAAGATGAGACACCGTGGGAAACAAAAGAGGAGGGAGCTGACATACTGGAGGTGGTGTTTGCATTCAGCATATAATTTCCATTACTAACACTCGTCACGTCCGGGAAAACAACTTGAACGCAAAGATGTGTTTGCCAGAGTTCTACAAGGAGATCAACGCGGTTCAAGGCTTTAATTTGTGGCCTTGTGTGAACAGAACAGATGAAAGCTGGGAGCTGGAGTAGGTCAGGCCAGCTTATACTGTGCGTGACCATTAACCACGCAGATCTGTGTTTCACAGCAGAGATAACTAGGGACATGCTGCGGTAGAGGAAACCATTGTTTACATATTACCACTAATGGCTCGGGTCAAGGATGCAGATGGCAATGACACAGAAAGAAAGAACCTCGCCCAAAAATAAATGAAATTGGCAAAAACTAGAAGCCTCTTTGACATGATGTTTACCCAAACAAAAAGGTCACGAAATGATGTTTTCCTTTCCTGGAAAAATGGAAAAAGTCTGAGTGTAGCCTGACACTCTGGACTCTGAACTGTAAACAACATCACTTCTAGTTACAGAGAATCACAACAATTTATCATCTTTCTCATGCTCAGGCATTACGCTTTCATCCCATAAATCTGAGCGCAGTGCTTTAAATGGGCGAGGTATATAACATAATTATAAACATTCCTCGGCTCCATGACATAAGCTGAGCACACAGTTATAAAAGCCTAAACTCACAGCCTTTGAAAAACATTAAAAGTTGTGACAAGTTGTGAATAGAATATATTTTGAGAAGCGCTGGCAAAGGGCTTTTTCTTTTTCTTGTATGGACAAAGCTCACAAAGGCATGGTCTCCAATGCTCAATGGATGCACCCAATGCACCCACCTCATACGGAGTTCACTTCTGTCTTCTGTTAAATGAGATTTCTAGAATTTCTCCCCGAGGGGTGCCGCTACCCAATAACGATGCCGCCATTATCTGGAATCGGTTGGCGTCTCTGCGGGCCGATAGCTCTTTATCTGGGCTGGGGCAGCAACAGCCATGACAGCTGAGAAGTCTAATCTTTGAGAAGGGGAAGAACGTTGCAGGACGTTCCCCTCAGACGGGGCTTTCCGTCGCACGCAAACAGGTCTGCAGTGACAGCGGCCTTCCTAAAAGACAACAACGCTGCTGCCTCGGACGAGCTGATGGGACGCCACACTTCCTTTTGTGGTCACCACCAGCCTTTCAACCATCGCTGCTTTGGCGTGTCAGAAAGAGCAAACTATCGCGCGGCCTCGATGAGCAACAGATAGGCGAGGAAACCACAGAGCCTATTGGGTTGAGTGTAAAAGAGTCGGCTCAACTATCAACAGCCTGAAGAAGCCGTGCTCTGTTTTCTATAGGCCACAATACTACTATAAGGAAAGACTACAGACTGTCAAGCTTAGCCATTATAACAGCCATCTAAACTGTAGCCACCCATGAAAGCGCCGTTTCCCCAATTAGAGCAGCTTTTCCATACATTACTCAGACTGTAATCCCACAGGTTAGGCCTACATTACATAAGGATTTGGCAGCAGTTTTAAATCATTGTTGCACCTTTTATTGGCTGCTGATCAATGCCAGTGTAAACCACTTATGGACCTATATTCAGGATTATTACACTTGCTTCAATTTTTTCATTAAAGCTTTCGTCCGTGTGAAGTTGATACAAAACTTAAAACGTAAAAGCACAGATGTTACGTTCAATTTTTCCGACATTCCTCCTTTGACATTCCTGCATGCGGGGCAGTCGGATCTGTGTCCTGCTCCCAACAAACCCCGGGATTGTGGCCGTCTCAGTAACCCGAGCATCTGCCGTGCACCTGAGACGTCCCACGACTTGAAATCTAACTTGAGGGATTTGTGCTGCTCTTCATCACCGGTGCCACTCGTGAGAGGAATGCTGGGTAATAGAGCGGCTGTCCCCCTTTCCACTGGGAGATGTTCCTCAAAAAGGATTGTAACCATGAGCTACTGGCTCTGGTGGCCTACTTTTCTTTTGAGTTGCACAGCTTGCACGGGATCCATATTTGGACTCCCATTACAGCAGTCCCTCATGTCATAAGTGTGTTTGCAGATCATGCAATAAAAAGGCAAGACAGACGTGCAGGGCTCATGAAGACCGAATAATTGAATGACAAATTGGCCAACGAGTTCTGCTTTTTTTCTCTCTCTCTTCTGCAGCACCGTGCATTGTGTTCACTGTGAAAACCTGAGGCTTTTGAAACCCGAAACTTTCTTTGTTGGTGTTTTCATTAATTAGGTGCCACAAAGGGCAGGTGCCACCAAGTTTTGCCACGGCCGACTGACTGAAAAGAAGTTTATGAAACTCATTGTGAGGTGGAGGCAAGCCCACAGCTGTCCGCATGTTCACAGACATTAGGCTATGTCAAACAGGAGGCACACTCTACATTTAAAGCAGCGAGCTTCAATAGTAGTTATCGGGGCTCAGTTGAGGGTCCTGGGGTACAGCCAAGGTCTCACAAGCATGCAGCTGCCCACTTACCATAAACACAAAAGCTCAGCATGGCTATGCATGGCAGCCAAGGAGGCCTACGTTTTAAAGCGAGCCTGCTGTTTAATCATCTCATACATAATCACTCGCACTGTATATATTTGTCCGGAACAAGAGCTTTGTTGAGCTCTGTAATCGAGGCTTTCAGCAAACCTGTCCCGAGTTGGAGAGAAATGTTGTCCACTTGAATGCTAAATCTAAGAAAGTCTCTTAATTACAAAAGGTTGGAGACACAGCAGTCTCTCACTCCCCACAGCAGAATAAAATTGCATGTTAATAGACCCGACATAAGAGTAAGTCCCATCCCAGTGGACGCAGACCTAATAACTTTCAATCAAAATTAAGAGTGGAGGAGAAAGAGCACTCCTGAGTTTTACATGCAGGAATGCATCCCTCCCCCACACTGCATTTCCACTGAAACAACACGAGAAAGCCAGGGAAGTAACTTTTTTCCAGATGAGTGTTTGAACCGTGGCATCACAGTGGCATTGCAATTTACAGGGCCCTGGAGGGCCTTAATTTCAAAGCTCTCTTTGTCTAAATGTCTTAATATTCCAAGTGATATGAACATGGAAAGCGGTGTCATCTACAATCTCTGATAGGCAGCCTCTTTTTTATACTTGAGATAAAACGGTTTTGCCAGCCCTCCAGGTGGATGCCTCTCCGTTTCAGAAGAAAATAGCCTCAAAACTGAGCTTGTCCAAGTAACCAGCACAAACAGTCCTTTAAAACCCCTTTCCCAAAAATCCCTCATGAAAGGGAAATGAGTTTGGCAGAGAAATTGGTGTGACGGGAGCTCACAGAATGTTACATGCAGGCTGCAGAGCAAACAGGATTTTGAACTCGACAGAAGGGCCACAAGCAGCTGATGATAAAATGTGAAACGTACGGCGGCGTCAAAAAGTGAAGTGACACATATGCATTCTACCAGTAAGTCTCCTATTTTATATTGGAACTGTTTTAATGTATGCATGGTCACGCCACTTATGAGCTCAGCAGGAATAATCATGGCCGTGGGACACTCTGAGAAAATTCAGGTTTAACAAGCTCTAGTTTTTATGATTGTGCACTGAGCACCAACACTGCAGAATCTGTCAGCCAGCTCTGTCTTCATACCTGAGGGGAGGGTTGGCTGGATAACGAAAAAGACAACATTCAACTGCTACGGCACAAACTGTAACACACAGGAAAGAGAACTAAATGACATGGGTACCAAATGATGTGGCATCAGGTATAAAAGGCTTACACATATGCAACCATACACCGGTGACCTATCGTGCCGTGTATGAGTGAAAACCCAGTTTCAGATTATAATATATGCGCTTGAAAGCCAATTCACAAATAAAATGCTTGTGATCCAATAAACGTATCTCTTTGCAAACTTAATGGATCACTTTGTCAACGAATCAGAGTTTACACTTGTTGTCAGATGTAAAAACAAGCCAAGCACACTTGGTCTGACATTAAGAAGATGAGTGGATGACACTGGTATAAAAACTGATATGTTTACAGGTATAATTTTTAAGATGTATATGTATGAGCATGTCTGAGCTTCACATAAACTTATTGCCACTTGTTTTATTAATCTCCACTGTAACATTGCATCACATTCTGTCTGTAACAATCTATTAAGAGGCAATAAGGACATAATAAACAGAAGAAGGAACCGACAGAAATCAGTTCAAGCTGAGTTTATGTCAGTAATACCCCAGACTGGACAAAAGAGACACAGCCATGGTAGTGCATGAGGAAAAGTTGCTAAGCTATCTATTTAGAGCTGTGTAAAGTTCCCACAGAGAAGACTTACTTTGTTACTAATCCCTTCTGATTAAATGTGTCATCATAAAAAAAATCACACTTCCAAAGCACAAGGGAGCATCACACTTGTATGAACTAGCTACAGATCCTTAGTTAGCTATAGCACAGAAACTTTTATTATTTCACCAAAAAAAGTACCACTCACAAGCATCACGGAGAGCGCCTCGTATCTCCGACAAACACCGGGCAGCTGCTTAGTTTCGCTGGGCCATGTTGAGGTTTTTTTTCCACATAAAACCAGAACAAGGCTTCAAGGGAGGAAGCAAAGCGAGCAGTTCACTTCGCGTCCTGCTCCAGGCGGCTCCTGCAAACTACAACATTGCCCCAGTGCACTACTGTCCAAGATTGCACGCTAATAAGCCCGTGACAACATACGCGGGCAATACTACTTTTGACAGGGGAGAGGGGTGTCTCAAAAGTTATTCATGCCGCTAAATCTATCAGTTTGACGTTAATTATTTGCGTTGTTTGGCTTTGTTTAGGTTTTACATCCATTTCGGCTGAAGCGTATGGTGATAGAAAGTAAAACATTAATATATTTAAGACTTTTTTGTAACATTGCCACCCCCCCCGATTCTGTAACTAGTGGTTTGATCCACCCTGCAGTAATGAAAAGTAATCACACAGTTTTGAGCTGTGCATATAGACAAGGCACTTTCACAATATACAGTGGTGTAACACGATAACCTGCCGACTGCGTGTGACTTAAAGAGCCAGATGGAGGGAGAAAGCGGAAGATATAAATTTCTAGTTCTCCGTCACAAAATGAGTTTCAGTGTAATAAAAGTTGAGGTTAGTCCTAAATAAATGCATTTATTACAAGCAGAGGATCTCCACTGGCTTTATCATGCAATATGCTATTTAAACTACCCAGGTTTCTTTTACACTTTTATTGCAATAAACTCAAGATGTCCAACCTGTTATTACTAACATTTTTGTATCTTGTACAGCCAGTGATACAAACAGAAAAAGAGAACAATACATTTTTTTTCTTTAAACTCTTGGTTTACTTTACATATCAACACATGTTGTGCAACAAGTGTATATATGGTAACCTGCACGTACTATTGATATCACATAGGCCACTGGTTCTATCCACCAAAGTCCTTGTAATCTTCGTTTTTTTCTTCTTTTACTTGAATACATGTAGTAAGCCTGAAAAGGTAAACCCAGTATTTCACTTTACTATCCTGTTAATCGTCTTGCAACCCCATCCACTTCCAATGCAATGTGGGTGGCAGTAGCTCAAGATTTGGCTCATCACCACACTCATCAAGTATGGAGTGTGGAATGATAGCTGGAGAGGTGCCAGAGGTTTGCCTCCCGGGGACTGCCGAGATGCCCCTTGAGCAAGGCACCGGACCTCAAAATCTGCTCCCCTGCTAGCTCGTATATATACTTGTATAGGTTAAATGCAGAGGTTAAAATGAACTATCTGTGCCTGACATGTGTGACAATAAGAGTTGATTTACATTTGTTTTCAACAGCTTCTTCATATATAACAGCTGTGCATCTTACTACATGCTTATGTGTACATTGTGATCGAGTGACAGCAGCAGGCAAAAATGCGTTTACTTAATGAACCTAGACATAAGTCAACAGTACTCATGACACGTAGGCTACTGCACGAAAGTAAGGCAACTGGATATTATAGCAACAATCACATCACATGCTGTATGTTAATGTCTTTTGTGGGAGCTGAAGTTAACACACTGGGGCCTCAGAAGGGTGGGGAGCTGAAGCTCACCCCTGGCACACACTGTTGTTAATCAAGGAGTAACATCTGTTGTGTGCCACTAATCTCCCCCAGACTGTCAGACTGTCCTCCTCGGTTTTAGACTGTCTGCCTTTTGTGTTAAAGGGCACAGAGGATTTTGTCGCCTCCATTATGTAAGCTATAGTGTGGGGGTGACATTTTTTTAATTTTTTTTTAACCAAAACCCCTTCAGCAGTCTAGAAAGCGACCAATTTAGCAAACAAATGCAGACTTTGCATGTTGTGATTTGTCGTCATAAAAGGCACAGATGACTCCTTCTCGCAGCTCATCATGTTTGGCAGTGTGTGTTGTGACACTCAAAACCATAGGGGGCAGTATCCACCAATCATAGTGCAACAAGACTGACCCAAAGTGTAATAGCTTCTATGTTTGAGAAACAACAAACCATGAAGTAGGTGGTTTCAGTCATTTCTCTTTGACTTTGTTAATGTAACTGTAGCTAGCATATGGTTGACAGTAAATGGGAAGTGAGCTTCCAACTCCCAGTACTGAGACCCCATGCAGAATGCTGTATGCCATCTGTGGTTCACACTGGCCTCAGACAGATGGCTGAAGGACTCCTGTTACAGGAGCCATCCCTTCTCAACTTTAATGAACAGATAATCCTCTCCTTCCCTGACAAAATTCCCTGTTTTATGATTTAAGTTTTCATTCATTTTTTTTAAACAATTGCAGTAAAAACATTAAACTCGTTCACTTCATACTGTAGTTGTACAGCTGAAGGAGTACACCTGTTCTATATGCGGTATTTGAATCAGGTTTTCATAGAGTCCATAAGCTTTCTGTCAGTGAGAACGAATCCAAAATACATAGTCAACTCTTAAAAAGTTTAGTTTGGCCAAGAGGGTGACGCTTGAGTAAAAGAAAAACACTGACACCGTTTGTCAAAATGCGGAAGTACATGCAGTTACAAGTTCACTTTTTGCAGCTTGTTGTTGAAAATGGTCTCTGACGTTACTCGGTGGGGGATACTGTAACTCCACAAAGAGAGCATATGGCTTTCATGGAACTCCATCTAAATTTCACTGCTTCTCATCCTTCCCGCTAATCCTCACCTGTAATGTTTGCAGCCAAGTTAATTGAACTGGCATCTCTGAGGGTTCGGAGATCCCTTCTAAGAGGCTCCAAAGCGGCGTTTGAGCCAAAAGTATGCACATTGCTAAAATCTCCACAGCATCTGAAAGACATGCAGCTGTTCTTCCAGGAACGGTTCACGAGTGACTGTGTGAGTGAGGTATTCAGAAAAGAGGGCAGTGGAGCTCAGAACAGCTTTATTTTTTAGTGATTTTGATGTTTATATGATAAAATAAAGTTACTTATAATCACATCAGCCTACCTTTTACAAATGAAATACTATTACTATACTATTCATTTTGTATATGACATTGACAGTGAAAGGAAGATAAACGTATTTTAAGTGAAGTAAAAGTAACAGTACCCCAGTGAAAACACTGTTACATAAAAGTACTGCATTTAAAACTTTACATAAGTACAGTATTATCAGCAGAATGCACCTAAAGTAGAGGTACTAAATAAATAAAAATGCCCCATTCAGGGTATTATATTATAGAAGTATTACTGCATTAACATACAGTATAAGCAGTCATGTAGTAGGTCAAGATGGAGCCAACTTTATATACTGTTTAATAATAATCTATATTAAGTATTGAGTTATCTGATCTTACTTAAACCTAAACAGAACTAGTAATACAATGTAATGTGTTATTACATATTGTAGTTATGAATTCTGATGTCTTAATAAGTGCCTTATTGTTGTAGTCTGTCAAATCGTCCCTACTTGTGTTATTTACCGTTATAGTTAAAATATCTACAACACATCATATTACATAACCCGATTACACGTTTTGAATGTACATTTTTTATTCAGCAAAAGAGCACACAACAAAATCAGTCACATACATGTAGGAATAGCACAATACTATGGAAATATAGTGGAGTCAAAGTGTAAAGTAGTCCTCTGTCGTAAAACAAACTTTTTTAGTAGTTTGAAAAAAAAGACATGTTACGAAAGCAAAATAGCCCAAAACCTCAAAATTGATCACCGCATGAAAAACAATATTTACAATGCTCTTATTCTGAAATTCAGCCCGCCCACCCACATTCTACGAAACAGAGAGCACCTTGTTATGAGGACAGTAATTGGTCTTCACGGTGTGCTGTAAGAAACAGATTTATTGAGCAACAGTTGCTGTGAAGTCAGGCAGTTGTTTTTGCTTTGACACAATGAAAACATTATTTTACTGTGACAGAAAATGTATTTGTGGAGTGACATTTGAAGTTTGAAGTAGAATATGTAACATCTGCTTATGTACCACATAGTTCAAAGTACAGTTTTACATCTTTGATGTTAATGTCATGTTAAAAGATGGATATTAATATAACTCAATGTACTTGTTATCAGTGTAACAGGCAACTATTGCCACAAGTGCTTTTTATTTCGTGGTAAAAATCCTCTGTAAACATATAATATGTATTTATACATTCTACTTTTTTCACTTATTTTAGAAGTACTCTCAAATTATTATTTTTATTATTATCTGGATGGACTAATACGGGGAAGTTTGCACCGTTTTTGGAGTTTCCTCTCCTTGAGAATCCCCGCCCTGACTCTCCATGTGCGCCTGCACAGACCTCCACAGCGCTCCGATGTTCCCCTCGCCAAAACCTGTGGCCCCCCTTCGCTCTATCAGCTCGAGGAAGAAGGTGTCCTCTGCAAAGATGGGCTTGCTGAACACCTGGAGAAGGTATCTGGAAACAGACAATAACAAGGTAAGGACACTCAGTTGGTCTTCCGTGACCCTGAGGAACATGTTGACTCGACATCTACACTGAAAGTAATTGGACGCGTGATGCAGAGGCAATTTTAAAAGTGGTGCGTGATTACAGCTCTCGATTGCCTCTCACCCTCGGCTTTCACTGGATGCGGTCTGCGATGCCGGATCTGTGTCCAGGAGAATGCCATGCTTCGCCAGCATCTGGGGGTTTAGTCCTGCCTCCTCTATCTCCTGCTGTTTTCCCACCTGTCACCACACACAGGGTAGGTAGAAGGGTTGATAACCACCGTAGAAGACGACACATTTGAAAATAGGACCAGTATATGTTATGTATAATTATCTAATGTAATAATCAGCCATAGAAACTGCTTTGTTAAAAGACTTAAGTGAATAAAAAGGTGTTCTTTAATGCCGTTTTTACCAAACTATTTTTTCTCTGGGGACCCACCTTTTAAATATGACGAACCATCGCGACCCAATTCACAATTTATAAATGAGACCAAATGAATGCATTTAGGCGCAGTTAAGCTATCTCATTCTTTTCATTTGCTCTAATCAGTAAAACAATTTACATTTAGATAAAGTCAACAAGTTCTTGTTTGTTTTCCTCTTATCAGTAAAACATACGCCTTCTTTTAATACGGTGGAGCTGCAAATTCACAAACAAGTGCAGCTCTGTAATTGCAGTATTTAAAGACAACCCTGATCTGTCTTGCGAGTCTGAAATTAGTATTTCATAACACATTTATTTACTACAATATCATTTTGGACTTGTTGAATGCAATGTGGGCCATTTCTTGCATTTATCAAAGAGCAGAAGTATTATTTGTTGTGGCGCTCTGTAGGAGTCAGTCAAACCTGCATGTAGTAGGCTTTAGGAGGGGAGAAGAACTGCACACCAGCATCAGCCATTGCATGAGCAGTAGAAACTATGTTTGTTGTGTATAGTCCTATGTGCTGGATCCCCGGGGCCCCGTGCTGCTCCAAGAAGGTGTCAATCTGATTCCTGATTCCTGATCAAGTCCAAGCACACAGTGATGATGCACGCCATTAAAATGTGGCAGAAATGAAATACCTGGCAAGTTGCAACAGCTATACCTTGATCAAAGAGCGATTCTGCAATCACAAACTTGCAGTCAGGCTCCTTCTTGTCCACAGAGGGGAGAGTGATGCCAGTTTTGCTGCATTTCCAGTACTCCATGGCGGTTAGACGCAGTCCAATGCCCTCCTGGTTTATGACAAAACCTTCGTCCACATTTTCAGCACTATTCAGAAGAAAAGACTTATTACAGATATCAAGTTGAGCAAAATGTAGAACAGGACATAACGGTGAATGTTTTTTGTAATTCTCACCTGTTGATGAAAAACCTTTGAAAACCAAAGAGCTTCTCGTACCACCTCATGACCTGGTTGGTTGTTTTCTTGAGACAGACATATGTGATGTGATCAAAGTGTGTGATTAGACAAGACGTGTCCGTTTCTGGCAAGTAATTTTCGATGCCATCAAACCCAGGCAAGAAGCTGCCCTTGTATTTTGTCCTGTCAATCAACGTGTGGCACACGTTCCCCACGATGGATTTGACCACTGAGTAGGTGACATAACCACACTCGTCGTGAACTGTCGTTGGCGGAACCATGAAATTGCAGCCCAGGTGTTGGAGAGCCCTGGATGACCTTTCCACATCCTGCACTTCGAAACACACGTTGTTGACAGTGTTCACTGGGTAACACGAGCTGACGTCGTAAAGACATTTCGTGGAATCACCCCGGTTGTCTTTCCCCACGTTGACCAGCTGTGGAACATGTGGACGCGAGTGCGTAATGTGGAGCCTCTCATTCGTTACCGCGTCGCTCCGGGTTGGTCTCTCGTTCACGATGAAGACAGCCGCTCCCTTTCTGAAAGCCAGCTGCCTGGCCCCATCGGTCAGCCTGGTGGCAAACAAACTGAACTTGAATTTGGAGACGAGGTCGCTGGAAACTTTCTCCGCGTTGGAGACGTTGAGCGAAATGTGGTGCAGCCTGGTCAACAGGGCTGCCATGGTGCGGTGGGGCGTTTTTGACAGCCGGTGAGTCAAACAGAGCTCCTCTACCAAGACCCCAGGAAGGGGCGGGCACCATGCTTTAAATGAAATCTTGCGTGCGCGAATGGTGGAATGACAATTTCCGGGGACCTCACGTGATGCCATCGAGCACCACTAAATATATTTTACATTGAGGATGAGACGTCTGTGTATGGAAGCCCGTTTCTGCCACTCTGAGGAAAAATAAAGATGCTGTAAGTCTTTATAATGAGATACTATCTCAAAATAATGACTTCGTAATTATGAGATAGTAAGTCATAATTATGAGATGCTAAGTCATTATTTTTAGATAGTATCTCATTATAAAGACTTTTTCAGCACAGTGGTGACAATGGGCTTCCATGCATCTGCAACACTGACAATAAATTGACTTCCCAATACGAACACATGAATAGCCCTTTTCAAATGCACTCATTGCTGAATCCAGTTTTCTCTCTAACTGTTCATGTGAACGAGCGTGTGCAGTTCTGTGCGATCAGATTCTTTTTTTATTATCTTAAAGTTACAACGAGGAACTTTCAATTCGTGTTGATTTTGGCAGTCCACGCAAACAAAAGCAATTGTGTTTCAGCGCACCAGGGTTCCTTAGAAAACCTCTAATTTTACTGCAGCAGGGTCTGACAGTCTTCCATGTGAAGTCCTGGTTCTGGTTCTCCACTGCCTCCCTTCCCTCCAGCGGGCCAAGCATAATGGTCTGCAGTCAGACTATGCACTTTGCAAACTCTAGATTGGATTGGTAGACGAGATTAATTTGCCTAATTTGTCTACAAGGAGCGAATATATTTGTGTTCATGATAAAGTCGGATATTTCTGAATTGTTTGGTCAAATGTCCCATATTCCCGTGTTTTTAAAACACGATACAATGTTAAAAAATGTTGTGCTTTAGGGCACATACTAAACATAGCAGGCTTAAACCACAGCAAATAAAGAAAGTTGAAATGACGTAATATTTACATTATCTGCCCCTTGTTATGAAATCCACCAGTTCTTTTAAACCTCCCATAACTGTTCGTACAGTATGTGGTGCATGAAATAGGGGTCACATAATATTTCCGATAGACCATGAACGCAACACGGTTCTTTCCTTTTATCCAATAGCATTGCGAGCTGAGCCAGATGATTCGTGACGGAGACAGGCGAACGTTTATTTTGGCTCTGCTACTCATTTGTCTCGCTGTCGCCGCCATTAAACAACACGGAGGCACGTAAAACCATGGAGTGTCGCATATTTATACCATGATTAAAGGAGTACAAAGGCTTTGTCGCGGTGCGGGTTATTCTGCAGGAGGTTAGTGGGTCCATGGAGGTAAACATGTGAGAGCCCGAAGAGGTCGAAATAACTCGGATTGGGACAGGTTTGGTAGAGCAGGAGGAGGGTTTGGGGTTTGTTGTGGTTTCCAGCAGCTCTTGGGAAACGGGGCCCAGTCGCGAAAACGGTAAGAGTTTTACATATTTTTTCTTAAAATATTCCGTAATATGACATGTTTCACGTTTGTACTTAATATGAAATGATTGTTAACGGTTATAATTGACGGTAACTGTGTATGCTAGCTGGTTAGCTTGACAGCTAGCGAGGCTAAAACATTACTAACGGTAACCTACATTACAACACAATAAAGCCAACCGTCACGTGAATCAGACCTGTTAACGATACTGAACAGCTAGCAGGCAATTTTAATCTTCCAATCACTAAATAATCTCAGATGTAATTCGTTTTTAACAGTTTACAGTGTGCTGGAATACATACTTGATGGAACTACATGAAATCTCTTAATTTATATTAATGTATCTAAAACACAATGCTGTTTATCATATTTATTGACCTTCAAGATGATTTATGAAACTTTTTGTTTATGTCTCACATCTGACTAGATTCATCGCCTCAGTTTAACCATCCAAAGTGATCCACGATGACGGAACAGAAGGTAAAGTGGTCCTGTGACTACTGCACCTATGAAAACTGGCCATCTGCAGTCAAGTGCACTATGTGCCGTGCACAGAGGTTGAGCGGTGCCATCATCACAGAGGAACCTTACAAGAACAGCCCTGATCTGGACCCCAGTCTGGGGTGGGACCCTCCCAGAACTGAGAGTGGCAGCAACCTCCTCATCTGCCCCGACTCCAGCGCTAGGCCAAGAGTCAAGTCGGCCAGCATGGCTGAGATTGCCAGTAAGTGGTCCTGCCAGATGTGCACCTATCTGAACTGGCCCCGAGCACTCCGCTGCACACAGTGCCTGTGTCAGCGCCCGAGGATCAGCAGTCCCACCGAGTCCCCCCAGACCTCCGGCTCCAACGCGGGCTGTCGTCCTCCTCTCCACTCTCCGGTGGATACCTGTGAGGAGTACAATGACCGAAACAGACTCAACACCCATCCGCAGCACTGGACATGCACAGTTTGCACTTACCAGAACTGGCCCACAACCACAAAGTGTGTGGTTTGTGACCGCCCCAAGCCCAACAACCAGGAAGCCATAGAGCTGGCCGAGTCTCCAGAGCCAACACCCATGATAAATGAACAGGACAGGGCTCGATGGAGGGGCAGTTGCAGCGGAGGCCAGAGCCAAAGAAGGTCCCCTCCGATGCCCAAGAGGGAAGACAATGTCAAAATGGACTTCCAGAGGATCGAGCTTGCAGCTGGAGCCATGAGCAGCAAAGAGGAGCAAGAAGTCGACTTCAAGAAGCTAAAGCAGATCAGAAATCGCATGAGGAAAACAGACTGGCTGTTCCTCAATGCATGTGCAGGTGAGTTTTTAATACGTTTATTACATGTCATCCATGTTCTTGTACCAATTTTCCTTGTAACAACACTTCTATTGTTACAGCAACCTTTCATTTTCTTCCATGATATCATGCTCAGTGATGACCGAGCGAGGTAATCCAGTCAGAGGCAACCAATGGCAAAACATTTAGTTCTATTTTATCACAGTGCAGGTGGTGCTTCACCCTGCACATTCCATGGTTACATAGTAGTGTGATCAATATTTTTATCAATGAATGACAACTTGTTATTGTTTACACTCTAGATATTATTGGAACAGGAATTTCTGAAAATGTGGGCTTGGCAAGCTCTTTGAGAAGGGTTTCATTTCACAAGGTAGTGCTTTAATATCGACTGTAGTGAGAGGATACGTAAAATCAACAAAGCATAAATTATGCTGAGCGGCATTATTATAAAAACAATGTGTAACCAAATGGTGAGTAGGAACTTGATCCATCTCCTCACTGAAACCCTAGATGCCCTGGCTCTGCCACCGAGAGTGTCTTTGATAGACTGAGAGGGTGTGAGTGCGTCCCAGCCGGTGGGCATGAATGGACCGTCTGGGACCAGAGGCTCTCCTGGCCCGCAGTCAACCCACCCTGTAAACAGTGGTGCTTATGTGCTGCGTACCCTAGGAGGCAGAAATAGCCTTGATAAGACATGAACACCAGTCTCCAACAACAAAAAAACAACAAAGTGTGTCACATAATCAGTGTCCTCCTGACCTTTGCACTCATTGCCCTTTTCCGACTTCTTGTTGTGAAATAGAAAACATTACTCTTAGCTCACGGTGAGAATATTTATCCACTGTTCTCTCTCTCATCTACCTCACACACAGTTCCAGACATTTGATATTATTGTCAATACTGCTGCACCTTCTTACTGACGCCATGTCAGCTGACTTTTTTTTTTTTTTTTTTTTTTAAACAGTTGGGCTCTTCAAAGTGTTTTTTCAATGGAGGAAGTGCCTGAGTCGAGTAGCACTTTATAGCCGAGCCAAGCACTTCCTCAGGCCGCGCAACGTGATTTCACTTTGCTCTACTGTTTCTGATCTAATGTCTTTTTTTTAGAGCTCTGTATTTGGGCCAAAGTGGGATGATCCCATTGATTGTACTCTCCACAAAAGGAAGCAGACTCTGTTTGTGTAATGTTGTTCTTTTGTGTGGGCGAGTCTTGCTATTGCAGATACTATTTGTCTGTATTTAAACCCTTTAATTCTTACAGTTTGGTACTGCTCGTGAGGAGCTGTGTGTTTGCCATTAAACACTGGAAAGATCTCGTTGATCAGCCACACATGAGTACGAAAATCTACCGAAAATGATCAGAACTATCAATAACAAGTCCAGTTTGATTAGTTCAAATAACAGCTCAATATTATCGTATGTCCAGATCGGGATGCCTGATGTTTAGGACGCCCTATTTCTGATCATTTCTGAGACGATATTGTATCGACTAATCCCGGCATAAAGGACGGTAAAGAGGTAGTCAGGAAACGAGGGAAGAGATGCAGCGTAGGTCTGAATCAGGACGTCCCCGCCATTTCTATTGTACACTTTAATGCACACTCTCTTAGAGAGAACATGCTTTTAAGAAGGACCGTGCTCTCTTTTTCACTCCACCAATGCGTTACAGTCCAAGGCCTTAATCAGGTGTTTTCAGTAATGTGAGACGAAAACAGCACACCCACATATACTAATGTTGGCGTCCATCATATGGATCTGTGTTTGCAAAGTTATCTCCCACCATGTGTTAAAGGGACCAGGCGTTCTCGGCACGTTCCCGTCGATGTTCGCTCGAGGTAACCGTCGTCTTCCTCTGCCGGAGAGGACAAACCTCCCTCCTCTTGTTAAAACTAGCCAGAGCTTCGGTGTTCAGCGTGCTATCCTCATTTCACACATGACAGATGTTGAGACGACCATTTTCAAAGGAGGGGGAGAGCGCTAATCTGCGCAGACCGCCCTCTGTCTGACACCGCTCTCTGATAGCTCTGCGTTATGAGCTACGCTGTGGTAACTGCTCCCACACTGGGTTAGCTTGTCGCTACATCTAGAGGTCAGGAGCTGGAGAGCTCGCTGTGGATTCTTTTAGCATTTTGCTCTTTTGACGTTGGATTTGTTGTATATGATTGCTTGTGACTAAGAGCAGTATGATTTTTCCCTGTAGCTCTTTCATTGAACAAGGCAAGCTGTCTGTTACGTCTTGCTTCTATTATGAGCAAGGACATGGAGCTGGAGCTGCTCCAAGAGGCAGGCTAATCCATTTACAGAGAGCAGGCCTGTTTTTAAAAGGATCCCCGTGTCTTTCTACATCAATTTATTTT